TCCCCTCTCATGCTGTTTCTCTCTCGCTCGCTCTCTAAAAAATAAATAAAATCTTTAAAAAAAAAAAAATTTTTATACTTTTTTCAACTAGTCAAAGAACTTGCTATAAATGTAAATGTAAAATGTCTCCCTCAAAGTACAAGTTCCTAATAATGCCACATCAATTTCAACCTGGCAGTTTTATTATTTTGGAATCATTACATAAAGAAGTATCCTGCATATTTCCCCATTCTATTTCTGATTGAACTGAACACAAGTTAATGAATAATGACAGGAATTTTTTCTAGGTTATTTTTGGGCTAATGAGATGTGAGAATGTTTGTTTTTAAAACAGAGGAAACCAAACCCATTTCCAGAATCTGATTTAAACTATATTCTTGCATCTTAAAATACATAAAAACCTTATAGGAGTCTCTTTTCAATTAATTCATCTTTAATACCATTGCTACTCATCTTTAATCCCAATGAAAAGTCTTTCCAAGCCTAATAGGACATTTTCCCTTTCACTCAATTGAGCATGTGTCACTTTTGATGGGACAATCAATTTTTCAGATGTTTTTCTTAGATCTGGACAACATTTTAAATAGAAAAATGCAGTCCAATCTACTCATTTCACAGATATCAAAATGTTGGCCCAGAGAGAATTAAATTTAATTATAGTTATTCAATGAAAGACTTGGGATTCAATCTCAGGATTTTAAGTCTTAGTATTCTTGTTTGGTCTCATTACAGTGCTACTTGTCAGATAATTTGAAATTAAACCAGTACTTGAATGAACTAACCAGTCACCCTACTTCAGTATCTTAATATCTTATTTTCAATAGCAAGCTAAAAGTTAAATCCACTTGAGTAATTTTTAGCACATTATAAATAGGCTTCATGGAACCTTCCAGCATTTTTTTTTTTTTAAAGTTGGTTCTTACTGTTAGTTTTTATTTTCACAGCCTTCTTCCTTTAAGACCCTCACGGCTGAGCGTAAAGTTGGAAGAATTGCATAACAGTCTGTGCAAACACCACATTTTAATTACTGAAGCATGCATACCAATATTTCGCCATGGAGGCCGTGGCAGAGTCCAGACGTTTCTTTTCATGCAGCTGAAGACAGCTGTCCACAAAAGCTCTGGTTACACAAATGTGTGTTTTTAATTCTGCCAGCTTATGCTGCACTGTCTTGAATTTAAAGGAAATGAAAGGGAAAAAATTGAGCATAGAAAAAGAGCATATTTTTAGTTACCTAGTATATCAAAAATTATATAATGGAAGATCTTTAGAGCAAAACAAAAGCAAAATTACCAGTTCTTTTTTTTTTTTCCCCTCTCTAAGAGGCATATGTTAAACTAAATAGCTTAAATTTAAAACCCACTATAGGGGCGCCTGGGTGGCTCAGTCGTTGGGCGTCTGCCTTCAGCTCAGGCCCTGATCCCAGGGCCCTGGGATCGAGCCCCGCATCAGGCTCCCTGCTCGGCGGGAAGCCTGCTTCTCCCTCTCCCACTCCCCCTGCTTGTGTTCCCTCTCTCGCTGTGTCTCTCTCTGTCAAATAAATAAATAAAATCTTTAAAAAAAGTAAAAATAAAAAATAAAACCCACTATATTCATTGCTAGAGAAATCTGTACCAAAAGATGAAAAAAGAGATAAATACATAAACAACATCTCATGTTTTAGATTAAAATTTAGACCATTTAGGGAAATTGCCTGAAAAACAGCAATGGCTATAATAGGTGAGCACCATCTGGTGGCACAGTCCTTTAATACAGCTGTTGAAAACACCTCTTTTTCCTCCAGAATCTAAATCCATGAAGAATTTGTCTTTTTTTGCTTTTTATAAAGAATTTGTCTCTATTAATGAAATTAAGTATACACATTTCTCTATTCTGCTTCTTTGTCTTGGCGTAAAATAATAAAGTAACAAGCTGGAAGGACAACATTAAAAATATTTATTAGACATTATTTTATATTGCAAAGTATTTAATTTAGATCTACAGAATGTAGAATAACAGCATCAGAGCACTCCAGAGATAAAAGTCCAGTACGCTCCAACCTCTTTCATCTCTCTCTGCCCTTCCTTCGATCCCTCTCAATAGCTAGTCTCTAACTTGAACTGAATGATCTGTAATGGCCAATGTTAATATTTTATACTTTCTCTTGCTGGCCAAAGACAACCTATAGTAGCCTTCGAAATCATTCTCTCTACTCTCAAGGGTTTTTGACTGCTTTCACTTCAATCAAATTTTCTTATATTCCAGTTTCTTGGCTCTCATACCTTGAATTCTGATTTTACATCTGGTCTCTTTGGCACCAACTCTTGAACCTCCTTCAGGAAACTGGCTTGGATTTGACATACTAGCCTTCCACTTTGTGTAATCCCCCCGAAATACACCCCATTCTAGTTGACCTCTTAGGTTCAAGGCCCAGCTATGGTCAGCTGGCTCTGTCTTCCTTGTGGAAATTCAGACAGAACAGAGTTTTGATCATGCTGCTATGGAATTCATGAGTGAGACCTTTACTGTGGCTAATAAAGGTGTGGAAGTTAGTGACAAAGTGGCACAGTTAAAATCAAACTAGAAATTCATGTGCCCCACCTATGCACTGGCAAGTTCAAAGCCATGACTGAGTCCCCAAAAGGAAGGCTTTAGGGACCAGATTCTCAAGAGGATGCTGGCCCTGTCATTCCTATTGACTATGGCAATTCTCAAACCACAAAACTGAACCTTTTAGCATCGTTGTGGTGGGGACAGTTTGGGTACTTTCCATTTTCAGAAAAGAGTAGAAAAGGAATATAATAAGACCCAGGACCAGACAAGACCTGAGTGTCTGGAGGAGTAGGTGCTATGACGGACCGATTCCTCAGAGGTCTATCAGTATAACTACCATGCCAATGAAAAACCCAACTGACTGCATTTCCCTTGGCTTTACTCCATCCTGTTCTAGAAACAGACAATATGACTGGCACCTAATGGTTCCAAAACCAAGCAGTAGGAAGAGTGGTGCCACATTTTTTCTACCTCTGTATCCTGGCCTCTGATTCAGAACATGCTGGGTCACATCAAAACCTTCTCCCCTGCCCCACTCTTTCCCTTACCTTGTTTATCTCCCTTTCTATTCATTTATATTTAATTAGGCCAAATCTCTATCACCTAATCAGCACGAAGTTTCCCACTTCCACCCCAAACATTCAAGATTATTCATAGAAAACCTAAAGATGGAAGAAGAAATGGAAAAAAGTGAGGAAATACTGTTCTATACATTGAAAACAGATGAGTATATATCCCCTCTAAGCCTATTCCTGGTTTAGTTCAATGACACTATCTATAACACTTTATTTGGAAAATAAGCGAGAATCTGACAATTCTTTTTTTAAAAAATTTATTTTTATTTGAGAGAGAGAGAGAGCGCACGCAGTGTGGAGGGACAGAGGGAGAGGGAGAGAATCCCAAGCAGATTTCCTGCTGGGAGCAGAGCCCAATGTGGGGCTTGATCCCACAACCCTGAGATCACGACCCAAGCCAAAATCAATAGTCAGATGCTCAACAGACTGAGCCACCCAGGACCCCTGAGAATCTGACAATTCTTAAGATACTTTTGCTCTCTCCCCACTGTGATGGCGCACTTGAGAATTTATGCACTATTTACAATGTCAGAGAATCAAGATCTCTAAACCCACTTCCCTCACATGAGAGCTATTTCTCTGGGAATGCTGGGAGCTTCCAGAAGCTGAAGTTAAATTTCAGATCAGGATGGGCTCATTTAGAACTCTTGCTTTAATTCATTTAGTGAAGTCCACAGGTTTGAAGAAATTAATGCCTCCAAGAATACATAATTTACTCTTTGGGGATAAAGAGATTAAATATTTGCATATTCTAGACATCACATTGGGCATTAGATTTTGTCTTGGCTCTTCACTGCAGACATTGCCTCATGTTTTCAGAAATTATTCTGTAATGGATAGTGGTGAATAATTGTACCACACATTATTAGCAAGGTGCTTCTTGTGAATGATCAACACACTTGTAGCAATATTTTTAAACATTCATTAATAACTAATAGATAATACTGCAGCTAGCATTTAAAAAAAAATCCTCGAAACTTACTGAGTGAATCAAAGTATCTTTCAGAGTTCTGAAAGACGTAACTCTTCGAATCATACAATTATGGAACTGGAATACAATTTGAAGAGGTTATCTAGCCCACATTCCATTTAAACAAAACCATTAATTGTACTCTAATATATTATGACTCAAATATAAAATATAACATCGGGGTGCCTGGGTGGCTCAGTTGGGTAAGCATCTGCCTTCGGCTCAAGTCATGATCCCAGGGTCCTGGGATCGAGTCCCGCATTGGGCTCCCTACCTCAGCAGGCTCCCTCTCCCTCTCCCTCTGCCTGCCGCTCTCTCTGCTTGCGCTCTCTCTCCAACAAATAAATAAAATCTTAAAAAATATATATATACATAATAAAATATAACATGTTAGGTTTGCCATCTAATTTTATAGTTAATTAACCCCCCACTCAAGGTCTTAAGAATTGGGTAATTACTTTTTGGAGGAATGTAAAGAAGAAGTGCTATTTTTTTGCTCTCCTATTCCTTTTTGTAATATTTTGTGCTCTTAGAATCAAGAGCATACCACACAGGCAATAACTAAAGCTTGTCTTAGAAAAGAACATTGAATTTTCACTTCATTGCCCATGGGTGAAGGAAGTGGGGAAAGAAAAAAAGGTCTATCTACTTTAAATTTCTGGGTAGTAAATAGTGTGTGTGAGTTAAGAGTGTAGGTTCTGGAGTTATAATATTTGTGTTATCTTGGCAAAATTGCTTAACCTCTCCATGCCTCAATCTCCTTATCTGTAAAATGAGGGTAAATATAACACTTATTTTATAGAGAGTTGTGAAGAAAAAATGAGACAATCATTTAGCACAGTGTCTGGCACATGGAAACAATGCAATAATGAGACACTATCATTATTTATATATGAATTTTACCTAATTATTATCTAATCTTTAGAAAATCATAAGATTTGACATCAAATATGGAGAGTAGGAATGAAAGGAAATGAAAATCCTATAATAATTGCCACTTAAGTATGATAGGTCTCCATCCTAAAAAGAATATGATTTTTTTGGTGGAATGTATCCAAATGGCAGAAAGGCCCCAAACGTTCAAAATTCAAGGATAACAAAGAGAAAGGAAGGAAACTGAATAGTTAAATGATCATAAGATGACATTTGGCTAAGTATAATATGACCTTTAAAGGTCTTCTATTTCATTTTAATAACCAGAACGATAGTGTACCCAGCTCTAGAATAGGAGGTGCAAGCAAAATATTGGTTGTTCATCTTCTTTGAATACATTCCTAGACTGAATACGAAAATATTACTCAAAGATACTTATTTCAATAAAACAGAAAGATTAGAAGAAATATCTCAAAAATCCGAAAACACACATATTTACTCATAAAACCGTACTACAGGGAGCCCTAGTATACGGGCAGAAGCAATGCTACTGCCACCTAGTGAAATTTTGGTAAACTACCTCTGAAAGGAGGCAATAATAAAACGGTACTTGCTTTGAAATATATATGAATTATATATAAATTATCTATTATTATATAAAATATATATTAATATATAACATATATTAATACATGAAAGACATATATTATAAACTTTTTTCCTTCTATGGGAAAACATTATACCAATTTCCTATTTCCTTCATGGTCAAATGTCAAATCAGACTTAACATTCTGAGTTATAGACAATCTGGGTAACATCATGGTCATCTTTGTTGTCATTTAATACATATTCCATAAAAGGAGATGTAGATTTCCAACGAGATGGAAAATATGCTTATTGGGTTCACTTTTTATTTTTTAATTTTTTAAAAGATTTTATTTATTTATTATGTCAGAGAGAGAGAGAAAGAGGGAGAGAGCAAAAGCAGGGGGAGCGGCAGGCAGAGGGAGAAGCAGACTCCCTGCTGAGCAAGGAGCCCGACGTGGGACTCGAGACCCAGGACCCCGGGATCATGACCTGAGCTGAAGGCAGATGCTTAACCAACTGAGCCACCCAGGCGTCCCTATTTTTTAATTTTTTTTAAAAAATTATTTATTTCTGAGAGAGAGAGAGCACATGTGTGCAGGGTGGGGAGGGCCAGGAGAAGAGGGAGAGAGTCT